TATATATATATATATATATATATATATATATAGTATATAATAAAATATATAATTAATGTATAAATTATACAGAAATATATTCTGGTGGCCAAACCTTAAATGTTTGTCTTTGATGTCTATAAAACTTTAATCGTTTATCTTCCTCATACGGATTTTCCGCCTTTGCCTTTGCTGCTGCTGCTGCTGCAACTGCTGCTGCTGCTGCTGCAGTTTCAGGTGTCTGTACAGCTGGCAAGATAGAGATAAGACGCGTTAATTGTGCTTCTTTCTGCTCCACTGACAGGCCGTCCCAGAAACACCTAAAAATAAATTAATACAAGTAATTAAATAGTCTAGTTAATTAACTAATTAACAGATTAATTAATTAATTAATTGATTAACTAAAATAATTAGTACATTTATTTTAATTAATTTATGCCTGCGTACAGCAGCAGATGCAGCAACAGCAACAGGAAGAGCGGCAGCAACAGCGGCAGCAACAGCAGCAGCAACAGAAGCAAAAAATGTCTGACTTGTGAATAAAGGCGACATTTATTCCTATTTTATTAAAAATTCTTTCTTTACAACTTAACCAACCAGATGGCTTAGGCCGAACAGGACCTGCAGCGGCAGCATGAACAGCAGGAGCAACAGCAACAACAGCAACGAGAAGTAAATTATACTATATATTGTTATATATTATATACTCAATAATATATTATGCACTATATATGAACATATAATATATTTTATAACATGTTTTATATATTTAATTATCTAAAGGGAAGTAAATAATAAATAATGAATAAAAAGAGTAAGTAATGAATAAAGAGAGTAATTAATATATAAAAAGGGTACCTAATTACCCAAAGGAAGTAAATAATCACACAATATACAAAAATTATATTTAGAGGAATAAAAATCAGCAAAAAGAAGATGTTGTTCATCATAAATTCTTCCTATTGAACAATTAGAAGAGAAATCAACAAAAAGACGACCGTATTTATTGCGTAATTCATCATGCATGCATTCTCCTCCCTGCGCACATAAATAATAAATTAATTAATTAATCAATTAACTAATAAATTAAGTAGTTATCTTTAACTGTCCAGCAGCAGCGGGCAGCAGCAGCAACAACAGCAACAGCAACAGCAAGAGCAGAAGCAGCAGCAACAGCAACAGCAACAGCAACAACAGCAGCAGCAGCACCAGCAGCATTACCTGGTTTTGCCCATTGATGAGTATATTTTGTAGCCATCGTAGATGGAGACTTCGCTGTAGGCCCATTGGTACTGCCCTGTATAAATAAATAAATATATAAATAAATAAATAAATAAATAAATAATAAATAAGTAAATAAATAAATAAATATAATAAACAAAGTAAACATACAAAAGAAATAAATAAATAAATTAATTAATTAAATTAATTACCTTTTTATAAATTCTTCATTCTTAGGTTTATCTACATCCGTTAAATAAAGAATTAAATAAAGATAATATTGTAACCATCCGCTATGTTCTAAACTTTCTTCTGTTAACTGCAGAAAAAAGCAACACCGCACTATAATCAATTCGTGCTGCTGCTGCTGCTGCTGCTGCTGGTGCTGATGCTGCTGCTTGTGCTGGTGCTGATGGTGCTGTTGCTGTTGCTGCTGCTGCTGTTGCTGACCTGCTCGCATGCTTTTTTGATGAAGAGTACAATTGGGGATTCTGCTTCCTTTCCTTCTATGAGACCACTGCACGAGAAAAAGACACCGACAAAACCCTAAACCCTAAACCCTAAACCCCTGATTCTGCTTGATCGTCATCAGAACCACCACCAACAGCAGCAGCAGCAACAGCAGCAACAGCAGCAGCAGCAGCATCAGCTTACCATTCATATTGATTAGTAATAGCTAAGGCGAAAGCTAAAGAAATCTTATCGAAGGGAGAACACCCCACAGCATCTAAATATCTACCAAACTCTGCAGGTGGCTGCAAAGTGCTGCTGCTGCTGCTGCTGCTGTCGCTGCTGCTGTCGCTGCTGCTGGTGATAATGGGGGAGGCAAGCTGCATCTGCTGCCGCAGCAGCAGCGGCTTCTTCATGCATGCGTATACATGCAGCGCTAGCTGCTGTATAATACCCGAGTAGTTGCGAGAGAGACAATCAGAACCACCAAAGGTATTGTTTGCTGCAGCAGCAAAGTAACAACTGTATTTTTATTTATTATTTATATTTATATATTAATTTAATAAAGTAACTAATTAAATTAAATATAATTTAATTTATTGATTACTTTACCTGAGTTATCTCCAACCCCCATGAGGGCGAGGCAAATAGCCATGTTGCATGCTGAGGGCAAACGCCAACGCTGCAGCAAGAGCAGCAGCAAACACAGCAGCAGCAGCAGCAAAATGCAGGAGCAGCACCAGCAGCAGCTGCAGCAGAAACGACAGGGAGAAGTCTGTCGTCAATGGTGCGTGTCACTGAGCTGTGCTGCGACGGGCCTGCCAGGTGTGCCCAAGGGTTTAGGGTTTAGGGTTTAGGGTTTAGGGTTTACATGTATATTTGCCTCGACATGCTCGAGGAGAGTTGGCAGCAAATGATAAGATCGATATTCTAATGCTGCCATCGCATACAGTAGACGCGGCACCATCTCCGGCTGTACAGACACCCCAAACCGTAAACCCTAAGCCCTAAACCCTCGAGACCAACGTCGACACTGTAGAGTCGAAGACGGTTGTACGGGAACCCTTATATTTCCACAACGCAAACCCCAAACCCTAAACTCTGAACATTTCAGGAGGTATTCTACATACGGACCCCTCCAAGCCCTAAACCCTAAACCCTAAACCCTTGCCTGCATTTCTTGTTTTCTTTCGATTAAATCAAACACCAAGTGTTTAAAGGAAGGGATCGAGTGGACCTGTTGCTTGTCTCGTGTGGCCCTGTGCACAAATAGGAAGAGCAGATAGCTAAGGTTTTAGGGTTTAGGGTTTAGAAGAAGCATTTAGGGTTTAAGGGTTTAGGGTTTAGGGTTTACCAGAAGGAATTAAAGCCAAAGACATTCCCTAATTGACAAAAACACCTAACGAGCCATTTATACTCCGGCTCGTCAACCTCTCGTATGTGCTTCCTATATAACCTGAACCACAAGCCCTAAACCCTAAACCCTAAACCCTAAAATGTAGAAGAAGCAAACAACCACTAAAAAAACCTAAGATCGAAGATATCCGTGGAGAGACAGGGGGGAATACCCTTCGAGGGTTTAGGGTTTAGCGTTTTCGGTTTATATGGGTCTAGAGGCGGGTTTATGGTTTACCATTTAGGGATGGTTAGGGTTTAGGAGTGTCAGGGCATAAGGAGGATATAGGGTTTACGAGGGTTTAGGGTTTATTCGGGTTTACTAGGGTTTATGAGGGTTTAGGGTTTATGAGGGTTTACTTGATGATAGTCCTAGGGTTTGAGTTTGCTTTGTTTAATTTCTCATGATAATAATTTGGCAAATTATCGGTAGGGCGGGAAGAAAATACCTTCAGCACAAACCCTAAACCCTAAACCCTAAACCCTAAGCCCTTGGCAGTAGACGTTAGCATAGCAGAAGCTAGGGAGTAGGGATTAGGGTTTAGGGTTTAGGGTTTACTTTTATCTTCCTCAATCTTTTAGGTAAGAATGCTGCATCATACATTTGTGTGTACTGCTGAGCAGAAGCAATTGCAGCAAGAGTACCAAACCCTCGGCGTGCTGCTGCTGTTGCTGCTGCTGTTGCTGTTGTTGCTGCTGTTGCTGTTGCTGCTGCTCTTGCAGGAGACCTTGTTAGGACGGTAGAAGTTGCTGCTGCTGCTGCATCTGCTGCGTCCGCTGCTTCTGCTGCTGCTGCTGCGTCTGAAGAGCATTCAAACCTACAGAAGGCTCGGCGCAACCTCGGTTCTCGTCTCCTGTTGCCGCAGCTGCAGCAGCAGCTGCTGCCGCTGCAGTTGCTGCTGCAGTTGTTGGTGCAGTTGCTGCTGATAACAGAGGAGAGGATATCTGCTGCAGGTAATTTGTGAAGATAAAGAGGCCGCAGGATGCGACCTGTAGGAGGGAGGATCATCATGTATTGGCGGTTAGTTGTCTTCTAAACCCTAAACCCTAAACACTAAACCCTCGATGTTGTGCCCCTCTGTTGTTGTTGGTGTTTATAGAGGGAACTTTTGTTAAAAGCAAGAAATAAAAAGAAGAATTTAGTTTATTTTTGTTGTTTATTGAGAGGGTTTACATTGTTGTTGTTATGTTTGCGGTGTATACGCAGCTATGACATAACGAGGGTTTATGTTTACTTTTCTGTATTATAAAGAGCTGAATAAGGGGGAAATAAAAGAAGAAATGAAGATGTAAATAATAATAAATAAAATTAATTTGTTTTACTAAGGGATTTGTTGTTTTATTGCTGCTGTTGTTGCTGTATATATAGGCAGCTACTGCTGCATGCTACTGCATGCACACACGACAGCCGACGACGAGATTGCTGCTGCTGCTGTTGCTGTTGCTGTTGCTGCTGTTGGAGTGTCTGTTAAGACAAAGAGGTATGTATTTCTTTCTTTTTTTTTATGTTTTACATAATAAAATAATAAATTTGTTTTAATTAACAATAAGGAGAATATCTCGATGGTTTCGATTGCTTCGTCGGGTGCTGCTGCTGCAGCAGCAACAGCAGCAGCTCCAGCTGCTGCTGGTCCTGGTGGTAATATAAATAATCCGTCGTCATCAATAAGCAGTTTATCTTCTCCTTCTTCTTCTTTAATGAATAATAAAAGAAAAGAATTAAATACTGGTGCATGGGATGCTCGTTACATGGAACCAATAACAAGATTACCGCATGCAGCTCCGCATACACCTGATTATTATTTACGGTGTATGTTAGGTGGTGTATTATCTTGTGGTATAACGCATACATTAGTATGTCCATTAGATATAATAAAATGTAGAATGCAAGTAAACCCTAATAAATATAAGGGTTTATTATTAGGGTTTAGATTAATATTAAAAGAAGAGGGTTTATCATCATTAAAATTAGGCTGGTTACCTACTTTTCTTGGTTATAGTATGCAAGGATTATTTAAATTTGGTTTATATGAATATTTTAAGGATATTTATGGCAATTTATTAGGAGAAAACATTTATTATAATTATAAGGGGAGTGTATGGCTTGCTGCAGCAGCAACAGCTGAATTTGCTGCTGATGTTGCACTATGTCCATTAGAAATGATTAAGGTTAAGATACAAACATCTAATCAACAACAATTCCCTTCTTCTTTCCTTGCTGCAACTAAACAAATGATACAAACACGCAAAGATACCAAATTCCCAGTAAGAAAATTATAAACCCTAAACCCTAACTAAACCCTTATTTTATCCTAAACCCTAAATTTTACACAATAAACCCTAATTGTACGCTAAACCCTAAACCCTAATTCTTGTGGTTGGCATTTTAGTGGGGTAGACAGATATATTGCAATTGTGATTGATGGATTGTATTACATGCTTTTGGGGTTTATTGGTATTGCTAGGGTTTAGGGTTTAGGGTTTAGGGTTTACATATATCAGTATATATATATTTTTTTTCCTTTTTGCAGTTTGGTTCTGTAATACCATTATGGAGTCGTCAAATCCCTTATACAATGGCGAAGTTTTATTTATTTGAGAAAATTGTTTCTTTATTTTATAATAAGGTGTCTGTACACCCCAAGGAATATTATTCAAAAAATCAGCAACTTGCTGTCACATTCGCATCAGGTATTTATTTATTTTTATTTTTTTTTATTTGTTTATTTTATTTATTTATATTATTTATTTATTTACTTACTTAGTTGTTTATCCTTTATTTGCTCGCTTTTTGCTGTTATTCTTGCTGTGGCGTCTTCTTGGTTGTGATTATATGTCAATGTATAATATTTAATAATGTATAGTATATAAATACACAATAAGTAAATAAATTATTTATTTATTTGCTTATTTATTTATTTATTTATTTACCTTTTTAGGTTATCTATCTGGTGTTGCATGCGCTGTCGTCTCTCATCCTGCTGATTCTCTCGTCTCTGTTATGAGCAAACCAGAGAACAAAGGCAAAGGGTTCGTCGTACAAGGGTTTAGGGTTTAGGGTTTAGGGGTTTGTATGATGGAGGGTTTGGGGCTGTAGCGTGATAATTGAATAATAACTGCAACGTCTATTGTAGGGTTTAGGGTTTTAGGGTTTATCTCGAGTTACTTGTTTCCGCATGAAATGAATGCACGAGGGATTAGGGTTTAGGGTTTAGGGTTTAGGGTGTATACGCAGGTTTGGGGAGATGGCAAAGGAAATGGGTTACCGTAATCTTTTTACGAAGGGTTTAGGGACGAGAGTGTTAATGATTGGTACTCTTACTGGTCTACAGTGGTGGATCTATGATACCTTCAAGGTAAACCATAAACCCTAAACCCTAAACCCTAATCTCTTAGATGGTGCCCTGCTGTAGTAGTACCTGCTGCTCTTGCTTATGCTGATGTTATTGCTGCTGCTGCTGCTGCTGTTGCTGTTGCTGCTGGCACGCTTGCTGCTAATAACCTCTAGACAACCTTACACCCACTTCTTGTATCCTCACTGAAAACCCTAAACCCTAAACCCTAATTGTGTGTTTGCAGACTGCCATGGGTATGGGCACTACTGGCGGCAGTTCAGAGAAAAAATAAAAAGAAGTTTATTAATATTGACACAGCGCATTAACTAACTTGCTGCAGAACTTGCAGCAACAGCAACATCAGCAGCAACAGCAACATCAGCAGCAACAGCAGCAAGGCGAGTGAAGACGCACAGGCATGGACTTCAAACCCTAAACTTTATGGCAGGCAACCGCTATACGCATGCAAGTGGCCTAAGCCAACTAGCTGGCCAGCTAGCTAGCTAGCTAGCTAGCCAACTCATGTGTACTTGTGTTGTTGCTGGCTACCTAGCTGCATACGAGCTGTAGGCCGTTTGCTAGCTCGCTAGATAGTTATCAGGCCAGATAGCTAGCTAGCTAGCTAGGTAGCTAGCTAAGTGGCTAGCTAAGGGCCTCCAGCTAGCTGTTGGGGGCTTCAGTTTGTTTGTTTGGGCTGCCCGCAGCAGCAAAACGAATTGTACAGATAAAGAGGAATAAATAAGTAAATATAATAAATAAATAAAATAAAGAAGGAAAAACTAAACAAGCCAATATAATAGAGAAGAAGCAAATAGAAGTAGAATATAAGAGGAAGAAAAGGGGCAATAGGGGCCATCAAAGATGTAGTGGACAAGGACGTACTCTAATGGATAGGAGGCAGGCAGGGATAAATTGCGGTGTATAGGCAGCTCACTTCCTAGTTCTTTGTTGTTAATGACACATTTCTTTATTCATATTATAAAATTTTTTTATTAGAATTACTATACAATTAACTAGACTCTATTGGTGCGTGTCATTAAACACCCGGTTGTTTAGAGTAGCTGCTGCTCGTGCTGCTGCTGCTGTTCTATGTAGTACACCTCGTGAGGTGTACAGGCAGCTAAATATCTTCCTTGAAGACTTAAACTAATTATTTTTATCTTTCAATTTATTATTTCTTGTAGTATATTACCCCTTATTTCCCTCTGCATGCATGCATGGATGTATGCATGCATGCAAGGGGGCCCCGGGTGTATAGGCAGCTGGGTGTGTCTGTATACAGCCAGTGTAGTGTACATAGACCCCAAAGGGGGGAAGGAAACCAAATTTTGTTTTATTTCGTTTTAATAATTTGTTTTTGTTGTTTTAACACAAGCTGATCTTGAAAGATGGCCTAACAACAGGTGGCGCAGCAGCAGCAGCAGCAGCGGCAGCAGCGGCGGTAGCAATAGCAGCAATAGCAACGCCGCCGCGCTGCATGCAGCAGCAACAGAGAGAGATCCAAGCTGCGTGGCTGCCAACATGGGATGGCAGCAGCAGCAGCTGCAGCAACAGCTGCAGCAACAGCTGCAGCAGCAACAGCTCCATCAGCAGCAGCAGCAGCAGCATCTGCAGCAGCAACAGCTCCACCAGCAGCAGCAGCTGCAGCCACCAATAGCCCGTAGTCAGTGGCCCGAGCAGCAGCAAGCATGGCTTCCGGAGCAGCAATGGCAGCATCACCAGCAGCTGCAGCAGCAACAGCTGCAGCAACACCAGCAACAGCAGTTGCATCAGCAACAGCTGCTGCTGCAGCAACAACAACCGCATGCTCATCCTCCTACTCTTGCTGGGCTTGCTTCTTGGCAGCAACAGGTTGTGCCTCAGCAGCAGCAGCACATGCTGCAGCAGCAGCAAAACCCCCACCAACAACAAATGCTTCGCCAGCAGCAGCAGCAGCATGCGCTGCCGATGCAGCAACCAGGCTTGCAGCAGCAGCCGGTGCTGCAGCAGCCTTTGATCCACCAACCAGTGCTGCAGCAGCAACAGCTGCAGCAGCAACAGCTGCAGCAACAGCAGCTGCAGCAACAGCAGCTGCAGCAACAACAGATGCAGCAGCACCAGCTGCAGCAACAACAGATGCAGCAGCAACAGATGCAGCAGCAACAGCAGCAGCAACAACAATTGCAGCAGCAGAGGCTGTCTTCAGATGACCCGTCAAGTACTGCAGCACAAAGAAATCTGCAGCACATGCAACAGCAGCAGCACATGCAGCAGCAGCAGCACATGCAGCAGCAGCAGCACATGCAGCAGCAGCAACTGCAGCAGCAGCACATGCAACAGCAACAACTGCAGCAGCAGCACATGTTGCAGCAACGCAGCGCCGGCCCTCAAGTCTCACATTTAAGCCAGCAGACGCTGCAGCAGCAGCCCAAGCAGGAGCAGCCACTGCAGCAGCAACAGCAGCAGCAGCAACAACAACAAATGCAGCAGCAGCAGCAGCAAATACAACAAAAGCAGCAGCAACAAATGCTCCGTAAGTAGATCAATTATAAGTTAATAAAAAAACACAACAAATATTTTTCTTGTGCCTCCGTCATTACATTTGCTCTCTTGTGCTGCTGCGGCTGCTGTTGTATCTGCTACTGTTGTTGCTGCTGCTGTTGCTGCAGTGCCGGCATGTGAGGCCTCCTCCGAGGCAGTAAAGAGAGGCCCGGGTCCTGGCGACGCAGCAGCAGCAGCAGCAGCAGCAGCAGCAGCGGCATCAGCATCCTCATCGCCTAGTCCTGATGGCGCAGGTGCTGAGAACACTTCGGGCCCTCCTTCTTCTGATTCACGCAGCAGCAGCAGCAGCCACAGCAGTAGCAGCAGCAGCTGCAGCAACAGAGGAGGGGTAGAGGTGGTGCCGCAGATACATGAGCTGCTGCAGCACCTGCTGCAGCAGGTTGGCTGCGAGGAGCAGCTGGAGCCGCAGGTGCTTCCCCTTCTCGTTGACCTCTTCCAGAGTGAGGGTTTAGGGTTTACGTTACCGCAGGGTTACTTGCGTCTGCTGCTGTCCGTTTTAGTTTTAATAATGTAGGGTTTGTTGCCTGCATTCTGCATTCTAGGGTTTAGGGTTTAGGGTTTAGGGTTTGGCGTTTGTGTATCAGGGGAGGCGCTGCGGCTGCTGTATTCAGCAGCAGAGATTGCTGAGTATAGAGCAGCAGGTGCTTCTCAAGGGCGTCATCCTCGGGGTTTAGGGTCTGCTAAAACCCTAAACCCTCACAGTAGCAGATGCTCCCTTGTAGTAGAGGAAGCAGATGCTGCTGCTGCGCTGCAGGAGTACCTGCAGCTTGAGGTACCCCAGCCTGCTTCAGCTCAGGTAAACTCTAAACCCTAATCCGTCAGCACCGCAACGTCTCTACGTTTCTGCGTCGCATCTGCGCAGAAAAGTGAAATATTTGGGGTTTAGTGTTTACTGTCTAGGGTTTAGGGCTTGGCATCTAGGGTTTAGGGTTTAGGGTTTAGGGTTTGGTGTGTGTTGCAGGATTTACAGCGTTTATCTCGTTTAGCGAATACAATGACATTTGGCAGTGCAGCGGGAGATTTGCTGCGGCAGCATCGTTTGCATGCAGCAGCACGTGCTGCATTAGATGAAGACAGTGATGTAGCCGCTGCAGCTGCTGCTTCTGCTGCTGCTGCTGCTGCTGCTGCTGCAGGACCTCCAGGTACTGCAGCAGCTCCTCCCTTCGGCCGTAAGAATATCCTAGGAAATGTACCAGGGGGTTTACCTCCTTACTTGCCAGAGGATGTAAACACTTGTACATTAATGCCTCCTTGGTCAGTTGTATTAGCAGATAAAACAGGGGGAGGGGGCCCCCCTGGGGGACCCACCAGTGGGGAGACCCCCAGCGGGGGGCCCCCAGGGAGTGCTCCTGCCGGGCCCTCGGCCGGGGGGGTTGGGGGCCCAACAGCAACACGAGGGGGGCCCCTAACAGGACCTGGGGGGCCCCATGGGGGGCATACAGATCATGGTATAGGGGGAGGCGCCATGCATGGCGCCAGCTAGGCGTTGTTAATAAATGAGGATGCGCAAACCAATTGATTATAGCCTTTTCAAACACTCCTTTATGAGGGTTTAGGGTTTAGGAGAGGAGGTAGAGAGAGGGGATAGCAGGGTGCGTTGCGTTTGGTTGGTTACTGCACACGAGGCGGAGCTAGGGTTTAGTGTTTGCGTTAGGGTCTACAGTTTACGCTAGGTTATGGTTTACGCTTGATTTCGTCTACACTAGGTTGTAGGATTTACGCTAGGGTTTAGGGTTTGGGAGAGGGATTAAGATATAAAATGAAGGCAAGAGTTGCAATCAGGATACAAAACCCCCTCCAACAACAGCGAATGCAAGGGGGCCCCTTAGGGATGGGCAATGCGCTGTTAGATTTGTCTATAAGCGTCGTCTTCCGTGAGGTGTATAGGCACCTTCTTAGGGTGTATGTGCACCTTTTGGGGTGTATGCGCACCTTGGTGAAGTGTATGCACACCTCGTTCGTGAGGTTTATGTACACCGCACGGGGACACACAGCAGTTGTCGGGAATAGGACTGCATGCAGCATGCATGCATGCACGCACGCATGCATGCGCGAGGTGGGGTTTGGGGCTGTACCTAGGGATGTCTGCGCACTGCGCACAAAAGGAAGAAAAGACTGCTCGTGTACTTCCAAGCACAAGTATATATAATGTACAAAATATATAATATACAATATAATAATATATGACGTATACACTTATAAATATACAATTACATTTGTTCTTATGAATAAAATAGCACAGAAAACGGATACAAGGCATCCGTCACCCTTCCTGGAAACAATTACCCAACTACCACCGCACTCGTGTAAACAGAGAACGAGGGGCGCCTGAGGCCCCCGTGGTGGGGGCTCTAGAGTGGTGGCCCTCCCGGGGGACAGAGGAAGGGGGGCCGCTGGGGGCCCCTTTCCCTGCGAATCTGCTGGTAGTCCTTGTTGCAGATACCACTGCATACAGACCTGTAGCAGACACAAGTCGTGGTCCTTTTAGACAAAGGGGGCCCTATGGGGGACCCCATGGGCTATAGGGGGCCCCGCTCAAGGCCATTTAAGCAAAGGGGTCCCAAGATATAAATAATACATCCATCTCCCACGAGGCCCCTCATGGGCCCCCCACGGCTGTTTGGGCATGCCTGTCCCCCCACAGCAGCAATGGGCCCCAAAGTACTGTAAGGGGCCCCCTTCCTCCCCCCCCTAACCCCCCATTTTGGGGGCTTGCTCGGCACCGTTTTTTTCTTCGGTTTCGGTCGTTTTGCTGTTGCTGCTGGTGGTGGTCCTGTGGTTTTGCTGTTGCTGCGGTTGTGTTCATGCTGCGGCGGTTGTTTCACCGCTGCTGCTGTTTTAGTGCTGTTGTCGGCGCCGATTACCTTACTGTATGTACGATAAGGGTTTAGGGTTTAGGAAACATTGAATATGTATCTATGTAGAGTTTATAAAATAAATTAAGGGTTTAATCCTTGAGTGTTTTGTATTTGTTGTGATGCACTTATAGAGTCATGCGTAGATATATAAAACTCCTCTAACTCCATTGACTTTTCTTCTTCTGCAGGAGGAGGAGGAAGCTGCCAATCCCATGCTGCTGCTCCTCTTGCTGCAGCAGCAGCAGAAGCAGCAGCGCCTGGTGACAACGATCCATGTGCATGGCGCAAATGCTGCTGCTGATGTTGCAGCTCGCTCCGCGGACGTCGTAGTATTACCAACCCCACCAGTAAACCTAAGAGAACAGCAGCAGCACCGCTGCCTTTGTTAAACATAGGGAAGGTTAAAGACAAAAAGGGAGGCAATTGCTCCTGCTGCTGCTGCTGTAACGTCTGCGGCCGGTGCTGCTGAAACTGTGAGCCCGTCTGCTGTGGCGGCAGCTCCGGAGTACCTGCAGCAGCTGAAGTTGCTGCTGCTGCTCTTCGATCAGCAGCAGATGGCGGCACACAACTTAAAAACGTGCTGTCGCGGAGGGCAGAAGAAGAAGAAGTAGATAAAGGCAATAAGTGCCCCTTCTCCTTATCGGCAGCTGCTCCCTTAATACACCCCAACTCGTACTCTGCAGACAACAACCCAAACCTTAAACCCTAAACCCTAGATACAAATGCACCCCAAACAACTCACCCGGTTTACAAACCCTAAACCCTCGACCGTAATCAACCCTCGGTGCCCGGCTGTTCCTATGCGCATTAGCCCTCAAACTGGTGCTAACTAGATCGATTTGAGGGTTTAGGTCTAGGGTATAGGGTCAATTTTTAAGGGTTTACGGTTTTTACCTAGCTTTTTCATAGCTGTAAAATCTGCAAAAGAGTCAGGTAGGTTCTCATTAGCTGCTGCAGCAAACTTATAAGCATCGGATGCTGTTCCTTGTATTTTAAACCCTGCAGCAGCAAATGCTGTCCATGAGGAAATCGAATCAAAAGGAATAAAAAGAGAAACGGACTTTGCAGCAGATGCCCAAGCCTGACGACGAATCGCAGTTGCTAGCAGAGAAGCTGCGCATAACAACAATCACAGCAGCAGCAGCAGCAGATGCAGAAGATGCAGCAGATGCACCCGTTTATACATAAAGGCTGTATATTATATATAAATACCTGCGTATCCTTGTGTGTCTGAGGAGAGGAAGAGGCTTTGCACTTTGCTGTCTCCTTTTGTATCAATAGAAAGAAAAGCAACACCAACTACACTAGGGTTTAATTCTCCTGTCTTTGCTGCAGCAGCAAACAACACAGATACCGCAATACAACAAGGGGCATAATCCTCAACGCATGCGCAGACAACACCGTCAAGGCAGGCAAATGCATGCATGCAGGCAGGCAGGCACGCAATCGGGCGCTGTGCTGCAGCAATCCCTCATAAAAGGAAAATGCATGCATATGCATGTTTGCATGCATGCAGCGCAGTGTCTCTCTGTACACTCCAATAGATCCTCTCTTACCAATAAAGACATGCTCTCTTTTGTCATCTTGTTGAGAAGACAAGAGACGCTTGCATGCTTCGTCTTGTTGACCACATAAATCTACAACCTGCTGGAGCAGAGCCCCATCAGCCTCAGCAGCAGACACTACTTCCAATGGAGGCGCTGCAGTCTTCACTCCTGCGCAACAGCAACAGCAACAGCAGCAGCAGCAATAGCAGCAGCAGCAGCAAACAAGCACGCATGCATGAGCTTGTTGGCTTCGAGCGGCTGTCATCATATGAAAAACACCACATTTGCATGCGATGCCCGGCAAGTTCCGTGCATGCATGCATATATGCATGCATTTGTGTGTATGTGTGCATGCAAGGAGAAGGATGATTAAATTGGAGCTGCCTGTACACCCAAAGGGCGTCCCTCCTCACCCTTTGCAGCCAATTCTGCTTTAGCCTTAGGAATGAGGATATCCCCTGCAAGAAAAGCACAAGCCCTAAACCGTAAGCCCTAAACCAAGTTTGTAGCAAAGACAAAAATGTGGAAAAACGCAGGAGACAATGGCCCTTTAAACAGCCAAGCAATCCTTGAGGGCTACCGTCTAGGGTTTATGGTTTAGAGTTTAGGGTTTACGGAGTTCAGATTGCCGCTCTAACACATAGCTGTTGGCTCCGTTGTCATACGAAACGGGCAATCTCCACGAAATCTTAAGGGGGCCCCCCAAGGGGTCTTCCTCCTCCTCCACTTTCTTCTTCTCCTCCTCCTTCTCCTTCCCCTCCTCCTGCAATGTAGCTTCTGCAGAGGGCCCCCCCTCCTCCTTGATTGGTTCTTGTAAGGTTTCGTGTCCTTCTACCTTGTTTTCTTCCTCCAAGAAAGGCTCAAAGCCTAGGCGCAGCAGCTGCTGCACCTTTGTTGCTGCTGTTGCTGCTGTTGTTGTTGTTGCTTCCCCTACACCCCTTCCTTGCAGGTCCCGCAGCCACGCCATCAGCAGCTCTTCCTCTGTAAACGCCAACCATAAACTGTAAACCGTAAACCGTAAACCCCTCCCAGCTCTCGGTCACCCACCCACCTGTTAAATATGCGTAAAGAGCAGTGCAGCCCGGTGCTCTCCGGTGCACCTCGAGTGTTTAGGGTTTACAACGTATAGAGGGTTTAGAGGGTTTAGGGTTTAAGAGGGTTTATGTAGGCATCTAACCTATGCGATGAGCATTAGGTCCTTGATCTGCACCTATAAAATCTAAGTGAGCTTTATCCCCATCTACATGAGCAGCAAGAAACCCTGTTGTTCTACCCTGAGCATCATATGCCAAATATGTCTGCGGCTGTATTACTTCTCCCATGGAGGTCCTCTCTTCGAAGAATCCCCCAAGGGTCCCCCCAAAGGGGCCCCCTGGAACCCCATCGAAGGAGCCCCCAAAAGGCATCCCAAAGGGCAGCCCATAGGGCCCCACATAGGTCATCCCATAAGGCCCCGCAAGGGGGCCCCCAAAGGGCGCCCCAAGTGATCCCCCAAGAACCCCATCGAGGGATCCCCCAAGGGGCCCCCCAGGGGCACCCCCAGAGGCCTTTCCAGAGAACCCCCAAGGAGCCACCCATGGGGACCCCCAAGGGGTCCCAAAAGGGACCCCCAAGGAGGCGCCAAAGTAAGGAGCAGCCCCGGTGGGTGGCGCCAAAACGTCGTCAGTTGTTGCCTCTAGAATAGCTTCAAGAGTCTTCTCAGCTGTAATGGGCCCCCCAAAGATGCTGCTGAGGGCCCCTGTTGATGCTAGTTCTAACAAACCCTTGTGTAAGGCAGAAGTGGGTTTAGCATATGAAGCAGCAAATATAGCCTCTGTTGTGGAGGCAGGGTATGTGCGTATAAGGGAGGAAGAAGCCCTAACTGCTGCATGCAGGCTGTTAAAGAGTTGCAACAGATCCTCTTTATTATCGGGCTGCTGCTGCTGCTGCCCCCCCGATGATGAACCAAGAGCCGGATGCATGCATGCACAGAACAACCTATGCATTGAGAGGAGCAGCAAGCAGACGGCCCCTAAAGAGGGCCGGAGAAGCCTCATTCTCTCTCTCTCTCTTCATGCAGCTGCTGACTATACAGCGGATAAAGTTGCAGAAGACAAGGGGAACAGAAGAGAAAAAGACGAAAAGAAGAAAGAAATGGGGCAGCAAATCCTGCAAGTGCAACAAATGCTCCTGCACACTGCAGCCCCACCCCTAAGACGCAGCATGAAGAAAGAAGCTGCGGAAATACAACATGAGATCCTTCCCCCCTCCCTGAATCCCAAACCCTAAACCCTAAACCCTCGACCCTGGATCGATACGAAACCCACGCATGCGCCCGTTGGGGGGGAGAGATGGAAGGAGGAAGGAGTCAAGTTTGCGCTTAAATACAAGAAAAGTTGCATGCATTTAAGTTTTATGAAAGCTTATCTGTTGGGGGCCCTCTTCCATCGGTGCCCGAAGTCGCAGGGGGGCCCTTTGATGGTTTCAATCCAGAAGCTCAGATTGCTATAACTATAGAGCTATGAGCTGATACTTACCTTCTCTTGCCTTCTAATGCATGCGTTTACAAAATAATTCTTCTAAACGTAAAGCAACAGCATCGGGGCATCAACTATCGATGCTGCTTGCATCCAGCTTCTGCTGCAAAGCGCAAGCAGGCACCGTATCCGTTGTTTGCCTGCTGCTGCTGCTGCTGCACGGAGCGTCCTGCGCTGCATGCTGCTGGTATAACCTAAGAAACACCAAATTAATGTTATTTTGTTGCATATTTCAATTTAAAGTTGAGGGAAAATACCAGTGCTAGAAGCGTTGAAAATATTTAGCAGCCAAACCCGGGATCGGACCGAGACCAGCCTCTTTGTCAGTCAGCCTCTCCCACTGGCGACAGGGGAACAGTATCAAACAAACAACATAAATTGATCAAACGAACGTGCATAATTCAATTGTTTTAATATTTTCGTAACACGATTACAACGTGTCGATTTCTTTCTGCACACAGACCTACGATGCATGGTGGATCTGTGTAAGCACCGGTGAGGGTCGTCCGGTACCAACAGTTGGAAAATGAAAATAATTAGTCTTTCTGCGGCCTGACTTTAACAATATAATGAAGAGAGCAAAACAGTGGAAATTCAAAGGTTTCATACGAGTGGGTATCGTTGCAGGGACCCCTCACTACGCGCGCGGTGTCTTTCATTACCTTACCGAAGTTTATGCAAGCGCCGTGCCCCATACGGCCAAGGAAGTGTTCAAAGATGGACAAAAGTGCTAATGCATGAACTAACATGCGGCTTGAAACTTCTGTTTGAATGTGGGATTGCCTTGTAGCTGGAGTTGTAGCGTAGCATTTGAGAAGACTAAATGCCTCTCCTTGGGGGCAAGTAGCTTCTTGAATGCCACGAAAATGTTTGGATCCACAGGTTTGCCTTTCTCTGGCAATCCCTTGGGACACAATGCATCTAAAACTTTCGATTCAACCTTGGCACTTACGCTGTTTCTAGTGGGTTTGCTGAATATCCTTTTCGAAACCTGCTTTTCTAAACCTGGTGTCCTCGTGATATCAGCAAGGCAACGTGCATGCACTTCTTTGTTTCTTTCTGGAGCTCCTCTGCACTGCCAGATACTTCCCCTGCTCCGTCTTCATTGGGCTACAGTCTCCAATCCTCTTTCTGCACAGAATGTACATGCCATTGGGAGCGCTGGGAATCCTACTCCCTCCAACCCTTCGAAATAAATTGTCTCTTCTAACGGCACTTTGCGGACCCTCCACTATTTCATTCACATTGTGTATTCTTGCGAACTTTTCCAAAGTAAAGGTGCCGAATGATGGAAATCCATTTCCATGAATCAGTGGCTGTAGTTCTAACCAGCATTTGAAGCTGACAGTCTTTACCGCTTTTACCGCCTATCTGGCATTGGCGAAGAGTAACAAGAGAGACTCCACTAACGAGGTGGCGCATTTGATGTGAGGGTTCCACCGTTTCATACCCTGGTTACTGATCATAGTTCAACTCATTTAGTGGCTCGCTGCTACCCGGCAACGTGTATTATTGCAATGAACCGCTCTTACAGTAGTTCTAGGGCCAACTTCAGGCACATGTTATCACCGCTCGTACATCATCCACCGTTGATGTTCTTGCAGTGTTAATTAAGAAAAAAATGACATCGACTGTAGGCGTTTAGTTGCATGTTGTGGGCGAAAAGTACAACTCCAGAGACATACAGAAACCCCAGAGGAGTCTTCAAATCCAGATCGGGGCTCGCGCATTATCTGGAGTACCGGGGAACACAGAGTCATTCTTAATTAGTTCTCCTCACTGCAAGAACTTTTTCCGCTCGTTAGGATGCAGATACCTCTCCTGGTCCAATGCATCGAGGCCACAATATTTTGTTCAGTCCCCACATTGATGTAGATGCTGGTCGAATATTGTTCTCATATATGTGGGCTCCCTCGCACAGTGTCCCCAACAAAGCCGGGGAGTTCGCTACTGGCTTCTATACAACTATACGAAGCGGACTTCACATAAGCGAGGACCGTCCTGGTTTAGTGGACTAAGATTCCCCAGACAGGTTATTTCTTCAGCATCCACGTGTCCTGGAGACACAGGCACAAAAGCCTGGGACAGGAAACTGCCTACCATAAACTGCACCGTAGTTGTTTGTGACCTGGCTGCGAGTCGGGCGAGAAACCATAATCAAGCGCTCTTTGCTGCATAAGTTGACAATGAAAGCAACTTCCAAAGGGTTCCTTGTTATATCGTGTGTGCACCAAAATATAAGTGCATGCACTCGCACCAGACACACCATACTTCGATGCTGATCCTAATTCTCAGCCGATGGAGTGCTGTAAACTGCACACAGCCTAAAAGTACGTATGCACTCACACCGAATGCAAAAGTCCATCAGCAGTCTCCAGGAGTCTTGATGTCAGTTCCTCCAGCTCCTGGAACTGCGAAAGTGGAGGCTGCCTGCAATGGGCAACTGACCCGCAACTCAAGGTGCAAGGCAACCATTAGTGCACAAGTATTACAACAGAACCCAAGTGAGCCCCCTTGAGGCCTATAGACTAAGGTGTTGGAGGAGCGGTGAGGCTGACACTGAACTGACACACTGAGCCACTGAGCCACTACCGTCTCCGCTGCTATGGCATTCGTTCGTTTCCTTATATCGAACAGATGTATGAAACAAGGACCGCCAGCCGAGAATTTCTTGCCAATTCCGGAAATACCTGCCAAATTTAGCTCAAATGTATCGAACCAACACTTAGTGAGCTGGCAACTGTGTGTCCAATAATGGTATCTCAAATGAGTTGTCCACTAGGCAGCCCAAAGAGAAAGCACAAACAAGGGCCCTTTCTGGCTGCTATACAGACATTGTAAACAGTTGCTGTAAACTCTGGCTTGAGTAACTCTCCTTCAAGGGCCAGGTAAGGGTTCATGAGCTCACTTCGGCCAGGCCTTCCAACACAGCCCATAGTATACTACAGTGTTGCAACCTGTGCTGCATGGCAAGCCTTGCGTAACTCTCCTTCAAGGGCCTGGTAAGGGTTCATGCGCTCACTTCGGCCAGGCCTCCCAACACCGCACAATAGTATACTACAGTGTTGCAACCTCTGCTGCATGGCAACCCCACCTGCACGTACATGAACAACTCCCCCTTCTACACTCACGCAATAACATTGCTTGTAGTTGTCAAACACTTGTTAGCCGTCAGCAGGAACCCTGCGAGTGCATGTGGCTTCAGCAACACCAGGCAGACCACTCTACCGGGCACGCCGCGAGGACACTGCACAACCTTTAAGGTGGAACTTTCCCTCTTCCAGAATGAAACATAAAGTAGTTGTCCCAGGAAAAGGAGAAACTTCTTCTATAACAACGTGATATCGACATTCACTGGCACGCTTTTGGCGGGCGCTCACCCTCGAAAGCCCCAAGCAATGCGTCGGTGCCTCCTCGCTTCTGGTTACTTGCATAATTACTAATTGCACACCGAAGTTCCACTTTTTCTTATTTTTGTAACCCCGTCTTTGCTTGCTCCATGAGTTCCAGGCCTGTTGTGCGCAGCCGTAGTATCCATCTGCCTCTTACCTCTGGCGACCACCGCGACGCCTTGGTGAGCGGCTATCTATTGCTGCACTCTTGGTGGAAATCTAACAGTTTGAAATGGAAGAAACTAGAGACAGGAAGAGGAGGCCGTGTATGAGTCACAACGGAGTTCCGTTTCTAGTTTCTCTTGCTGCCTGTCGCCACCACTGGACGATCCAACTGCCGATCGGGGACCCGTGAATGCCGCTTTCATTCAGGCGGGCTGCTGTTTGGACACCTACATGCACTGGCTTTTAACATATTATGAGCTGCATGTATTCGCTCCTTGGGGGTGAAGAGGAGGGACGCTGCAGACTTTTGTTGCCAGCACAAAATGGCGCGACTTCGGTTGATGTCCATCTTTTCCGGCGTGTTGTTAGTGGCCCTTATTGGTGTTGTGGTTATCGTAAGTAAGTGAAACCCAAGGCACTTGGAGACTGCTTTGTAATGCCCACATTATAATTAACTTGTTATCTGTTTCGACCCACTGCGAGCAGCAGCATACTTCTTAAGGGTCAGAAGGAAACAGACAGGCATATTCCCTTGCGCTTGGCTGTCCTAGCGTATTTCGACTTTAAATGCATGTATGTAGTCATCATTAATACTTGCATATCATTTATATTTGTTAATATGGATTGCTTTGAGGATCTGCCTGTGTACCGTGCCAAGCTCATTGATGCTGAGGACTGCGAACGGTTATTCAGGCTTGATTTGGCTGTTCCAGGAGAAACTCCTATTTCTAAATGAATGTACGTTGGTGAAACTGCGCATTGTTGAATCTTGGGGGGGTGGTGAAACTGCGCATTGTTGAATCTTGGGGGGGTGGCATAGGGGGCCAGAGGGCAGGCGGGCTTTTGTTTGTTGTGTTCTCTGTCTAGTAATACTTCTTTTATAGCAGGCGACCACACAGCTACATGTTATTACCATCAACCCTGCTGCTATTACGTCGGTGGCGAAGTCTATGTGCTTGTTTTCCGTCGGTAACTGTCACTGCTGTCTTTGCAGTTCCAATAGGATACAAGACTGCGGACTTGAATCCTAAAGGCATGCGCCATCCTGGAGAACTAGGTGAGCCCAACACGGTGTTTCCTACGGAACTTTGGGGAACTTCTGTGTTGTTGTAATGCATTTCCTCAGTTCTATGCCCGGTTCTTTCAGGGACTCCCTTTAAGGAAGTTTCATTCACAACTCGCGATGGTTGTAAGCTGAACGCGTGGCTGCTGCTTCACAGTGACCCCTTGACGGCCCCGACTTTTATTTTCTTCCACGGAAATGCCGGAAGTACGGATCAACCTTTTATACCTAATTTTAACCATATACTTTCTCCCTCATGCGCGTCGTCAGTATTGCTGTAGACCTGCGTAGTGTTGCAGAGTTCTGATCTCCAGTCGTTCATTAGTTAACACTGTTGTGCGTCACATTGGAATGGCTGCCTTACGCCCTTCACGCGGCGTTTCACTTCTGCCGAGTCTTGCCGTGTATTGATGTCTTCCGAAAGTGTGGCCGTTGCAGATGTGTAGCCAGATGTGTACCGATGCGAAAAGGACTCTGGAGCGCAGCTACAATTGCGAAAACTGGCTTCTTAGTATTCGCCTGTGTCAATTGTTTGCTTTTCTCTGCGATTTTCCATCCAAGAGCAGACGTTGGATTTCATATGGGCCATGCTAACTTGATTTGTAGAGACGTTGGCGCGAATGTTTTGCTCTTCGACTACAGGGGGTAAACGCAATGTTAGCACATTTTGCTCACCGTTGCCGAACCACAAAGAGGCAGAAACAGTTGCGGGTTGTGAAGGACCTGTGTGTGCCGAAGGAGGCTTGGAAACCTGCGTCGTTCCAATCACTTGATTTCCTCTGCAGCTACGGGCGCAGCGAAGGCACACCCACGGAGGAGGGGGTCTACGCAGATGCGGACTCTGCCCTGGACTTCCTCTTGAGCAGCTCGCTTGTGAACAATAAAGACATTTTCCTATTGGGTCACAGCCTAGGTGGCGCTGTAGCTATTGACCTCGCACATCGCAGAGGGGAACATGTACGTCTGCCCATAGATATCGTCTTTTGGTCCCCCTCAAGTGTCACTTCGATGCTGGAATACTGCTTCTTTGTTGCTGTAGACCAGAATTCTGATCTCCAGTCGTTCATTAGTTAACACTGCTGTGCGTCACATTCGAATACATGTTGTGGCTTGTATGTGCAGTTGAAGGGCATTGTCGTCGTGAACACCTTCACTTCGTTGCGCGACGTTATTCACGATGTAGCTCCCTTTTCCAAAGGGTTTGATTGGCTCCTAGATTCCGTTCAGGTCGGCTCCCCAGTTCCCATTATATTGGTCGCGGCAGCTGCGCAGGACCACTAGGGGAAGCTAAACGTTTAAGCATTTACTTGCTTGTACACTACACAGTGCTTGAACTGTGTAACTCCGATACTTGCTTGTACACTACACAGTGCTTGAACTTCGTAATTCCGATCTCTGGGGTGTTTTGCAGCGCATGAAATTAGTGAGTCTAGAAAAGGTACGCAAAATGCAAGTACCAGCTCTTTTTGTTTCTGGTCGCGAAGACGAGCTCATACCTCCTCGTCACATGGATGTGCTTCACAATGTAAGTTATTTAGGTGTATTCCTTTAGGGGCAGGAAGGGTATCAAGTGGTTTAGTTTACGCTGCTGCTGATGGTGGGGCATCTACCTAGTTTGACAGTAGTGTAGGCATCAAGTTGCGGCTGTAGAGCGCTTGTACTTTCTGGGGCATCATGGATATGCTGTAGGATGGTGCTCCCTAACAGGCTTGTAGTTCGCCCATCAATTGGAAACTGGATATCATTAGAGGAGATCACAATTCAACATGGTTAATTGGGGTAATTCCGTATGGCAGGAAGCTCCAAGAGTTTATTACTGCGGCGATTGCATGGTCGGAAGCAGCTCGCACAACCGACGCCGGTGCACTGTCCAGCAGAGAAGAATCCCTTGTTGCATCAGGTTTGTTCCTGTCCTTCAGACATCCTCCGGTACCCTTTGCAGACCGGGGTTCAGTTAGTTTCTATATCATGCTGCGCTCGCTCCTACATGCAGTTCGACACGTCAAGGCTCCTACAGAGTAACGTGCAGACAACGCAGACTCCGCGATTAAGCATCTTACCTGTGCTCAAGGATGAATGGGAATACTGACATGCTGCAGGAGTGTTCTGGGCTGTTTGCACGTGAATCTGTAGGACGGAAGGGCGGAGTCGTTCCAGTTTCTAAGGAAACTGGTACACCCAATGCACCAGAGTATCATCAGGAAGGCGTGCTCTCGGCCTCCAGCCCAAGCGATCCCGGGGCTTTGAACGACACAGTGGAGGACGGGGGACAAGAAGTAGATGATACAAGTCTAAGGCCGTCATCTGGCTTGAAGCTTCAATTGACGATTGCTCTATTGGTTGCTGCACTGCTTATACGGGGAAGCATAAAGGCGAAGACTCTAAAGCGACAAATGGATGATATTGTACGAGAACCGTATGTGGATAGGACCTCTGGCTTGGAATTCGATATTTCCGGCAGTATACAAACTCCCGAAAGGCCCATTTTTGGTGTGGTAGATGATTACCCAATGGCAATGGTTGCCCCGCCGACGTCCCGGACGCCAGTCCCCACATCTGCCCCCACACCTGTTGAATCCGTTGTTGAACAATCGGAAGCGCCCTGTGTCGACGCTCCCACCGTTTGAGCAAACGGTGCGACCGTATAGGAGATGAAGAGGAAGGAAAATGGATAGTGCACATTCACGAGCATAACTACGGCCTCGACGGGGCTCGTGAACTGCTCGGGCGGTGGCTAAGATATACAGGTAGAACCTCAATGTTTCCTGTCTTGTACTTCCTTGAAGCTCGTCTACGTATATAGTACCTTTAGGTTATTCTCCCACTGTCTGGTATTTTGGAAGAGTATGTAGCACAACGTGAGAGACGTTTAGTGCGCTTCCAAAACCCATTTGCTTTCTCGCCATCGGCGGCAGGAGTACCTGAAGGTGTCATATTTGCTTCAGCCTTGCTCTCCACATTGGGAGTCACTTTCGGGTATTCAGGGTGCACACCATTCTTGTGTTCATTCTACGCAGCGCGTGTCTTCTGATTTTGTGTATTGGGTGGGCTGTCGCCGCTTCGTGTTTTTGGCGGGTCACGGGGAAAGTCATTTTTACAATGCAGCGGCGAAACAGCTTCCCGTAAAGGGGCCTTAATGCCGTGTGGCTTCACCACGGAGCGCATGGATGCGCGTCTGGGCACGCTGGCCACGGACGGAATGTCGGATTGTTGCATTCTCACGACAGTTGCCTTTCCTTGGCAGTGTAGTGGTAATCAGCTTTTTAACCGTTTCTTTCCAGGCGAAAACAATACATGTTATCCAAGTTAAAGTCAATCACAAAGGGAGGATTGGGTCCAGCAGCGGGAACTCCGGAGGACCTGCCCGTTAGCACGATCTCGCTAAGCAGCATATTCTTCGCTGGGATTGCAGAAAGAACAGTCGGAAGTTCGACCATAGCGACAATCCCGAGGCCTCAGCCATTACGGTATGAATGGGCGTTGCATACAACAGGCACCGATAAACCCTTCACATGGGGGCGGCGGGAACTTGAATTCCGGGCCTGTAAAACAACAGCCGCAAGTTCACAGTGGCTACATGCAGCAGCGGGCAAGAGGTGCACAGCAGAGACAGAGAACGTAATAGTTTCAAACTGCCACAGAACCTCCAGCAGCAGCAACTAGACGTTTACCGGGGTTGAATCGCAATCTGGCACCCATGTAAAGGGAGATCGCTGGATGGTAGTCGCCCTCGCTGATTCCAGAAAACACTCGCGGCAATCTGCACACAGCCCCATTGCAGATGGACCTAAGGGGCATTGGAACTTATGCAAACTCTACAGGATTGTATGATAGTGTATCCCAGCATAGCTAGCAGAGCTATTGATATGCTCATGCAAGCTAAACCATTTTCCAGTGTACAATGTCACCTTTTCCCATTTATGGAAAAATCAATCCAGGACTCCTCGGGTCTGCTTCGCCTAGGCTCCGGTGGCGTTTCCGGGCAGCAAAGGATACCCGCTGCAGCACGACAGCAACACAGCAAACCTCTGTATCGATGCCAGCAGGTTGTGCAGGGGTATCAACACTAGACAGCTGGTGTTGGTGTCCATTGCTGGGGCTTCTTCTACCAGCAGCATTTCTCCTGGGAGCATAGCAGTACAGCAGTAGCAGTGCGTTGGGGATGAACCTGCCACTGAAACAGCCCGTGGACTTTTTATTTCTGACTAACCTTGCAGAAACTCGTACAGCCTGCTGTCTTCGCGGGGGTCTGTAGGCCAGGACACTGGTTCCGGAATGCAAATGTAACAGCCAATAATGTCACCTTTCTCTGCATCGCATAATGCATTGCGAGCGTTGGCATGAGCTGCTTAAGGACCAAAGCTTCAAATGGATAACTGGAATGCTTGCAGAAGCCTGTTCGCTGAAAGTTCTAAAGCCTCGAAACACATGTGTATCTAGGCAGAAGATCCTGCGGACTTATGTGGACTTCATTTTGCAACTGTGGCGGTTGCTGCCTCCTGGCCTCATGTAGCATGCAAAGCCCGCCAAAGTCCGAGATGGCATAGGAGAAGGAGTTCGTTCCAATTGGAAGGTCAAATCGCTGATAGCGGCATGCCCAGCCTACTCTGCGGGAGGCGAAGGCAATATTCGCACACTCCTGTGAAAACCCTTGAAAAGGAGGAAAATCAAGTGGAACAGCACTTGGCATACATAAGCCAATGCGTCACAGAAGAGCTAAGCACTGCTAGAAAAACTGTAAACGCCCATCCTCTCATCTACCGTGCGCCAATATCTCGGCAGTCCAGCATCTGAAATCAACGTGGGCGTAAGGACACCCATCAGCAGTCATGCTTCGAACTCATCTACCTTAAGACATATTTGGCTAGAAATATCTCGCAACAGAATGCGTCACGCGCATATACCAAAGGTCCTCCCTCTGTCTTCACCCGCGTGGAAGCCCAAACTTACATACGCCAAAACACCTACATACTCGATACCTACTGGAGCAACAACTAAAAGGAACTTCAAGGAGCTAAAATACCGTTCACGATCTCATTTATAGTGCTTTCTGGCTAAGCATTGAAGGCTTGCCTGAAGTAGGGGTGAATCTTTTGTTGGAGATCAGGAGGATACCCTGAAAATCGCAACGTGCTTGTCTCTGGGCTAAGGACCTCCACCTCGAAGTAGAAGCAACCACTGCTGCATGCATGCGTTGCAAACACGCTCGTCCATCCCTAAAGGCACGTGACACACCAAACTGAACAGCCTAGCCACGGGCTCACCTGTAGAGGCATTAGACTACACACTGCAAATTAACACATGATGTAGCTGCAGCTTCTTTGGTTCGGTTATTAGCTAGCCGGTATTACACAAAAAACGTAAAAGCTTAAGTGGTGCGCATGGACTTTATATACGGACGAAGTTCACTTCCACATGATCAGAGTCCAGAAACATCCGTTGGTGTTTGTTAAACCACGACCTGTTTGCAGCTACGCTGCTTGCAGCAGTGAAAAACAGCAGCAACGGCTTCACACAGCAACAAGCAGTATTCGAAACACAGGCAAACTACACCAGCAGTCACAAATGCACAAGGTGTAACCCCAATTGGTAAGGCATGTGAAACCGCCGCAGCAAGAGCGTTTTTACCTTGTGTCCTTGGCAGATAAGCCTGTCACCCGATAGCGTAATCTGTCTGTCCCGGTAACGTTCAGATAACACGACGGAGGGGAAATCGTCTGAAATCAACATGTTCAGCGAACAGCAGAGTGTGGGCCTGCGCTATGCAGGCTCCTATACTTGCAGTCGGCACCATGTACTCATTATTACGCTCGGCGATAAAATGGAACGCTCCCCCTCTGTTGACCTGTTCTATCTGACTCTCCACTGTCCCTCTCACTTTATCTGCTTCTATCCGTTTCTCTCTGTGTATATACGCAAGTGTATATTTCTGCAAGCACGCATGTATGTGTGATTATGTGTGATTATATGTGTGTGCATTCGTGCGCTGGTGTTTGACATAGCATGGGCTATGCATGAGTCCTAGGCAGTTTACACACACAATTAAATGACGGGGAAGCATCATAAATATAGTAGCACATTCGGAGTGCTGTCTTGCCGTTACCTCTTGCTAAAGACAATGGGGGAAGTTTTGTTTTGCGGAAAGACTCCTCCACCTGAGACCGTTCCTTTGCCCCGTGAGGCACAATGTCATGCGTGCCGTGGCGTCCATGTTGATCGTGAGGATGCAGCTCCGCCGACATGTTTGCACCTCAGTTCAGACTGAACTGCCGCAAAAGCAGATGCTGCAGAACCCGCCTTCCTGATGGTGTGGCAAACCCTGCGCTTTGGGAATTCACTGCTGAGCTCCCTGCAGCAACCGTTGGTTTTGTGGGCACTCGCTGCGGTTCTGGGCAGCAGCAACCGCTGTTGCTGCTGCTGCTACTAGTCCCGCTGTACGTACTTACTTCTTATTCGCGGATTCTGTGAAAGATGCTCCTTTTGGTGAACACTATGGGGCCCTTAAAGGAATCCGTTGCTGCACATCATACTGAGCAGCTGCCTTTGCCTCTACTCAGCTGCTATGTTTAGCCTGCTGTGACTGCTGCTGTTGCCTTTCGTCACGTTAGGCAGTCTGATTAGGTGAATGCTTACAGTTTTGAAGCAATACGATGCTTTGGGGTTTGAACTGTGGGTGGTCTGCGGACAACATAACTGCTACTGCTGTTAGGCTCAAGCCTCTGCTGCTTCTTCCACAGTTCCACTGTTCTTCCCCACTCAGTGTTGCATCCGCATCTTCTTGGAGCTTTTGAGAATGGGAACTGTTGCTCGCACCGAATCGGTGTCGCCCTCTCGGAATAGGTTGCTGGTCGTGTTGCTGCTACTCCTGCCTTCGACTTCAGAGAGCGTCACCTCGACCAACGGCAAAAACGGTTATCGTTTCAGTGTCTTACCTCCACAGGGATGCTGTGGCATTGCTGCGCTGCGAATGAGGAGGGAGTCAATGGGTGTGCTACGTGGTTTACTAGCGATGCCCAGATCAAATCCTAGAAGCAAGCGGCTGTCTCTCTCAGGGTGAAGCCCTTTCCATCTGAAAAAGGCAGCATTATTCCCTCCTGAAGGTCAAACTCTTCAAAACAACGGAAGCCCCGAAGTTTTTGCCTGTAGGGCCCCCCTCCCTTCTCCACCCAAGTCCGGTCGCTGGCCTAGATGGGGCTTTCTCTTTGTCCCCATACAACATTTACATGTAATTAGCTCGAGTTGTATTAATAGTTTTCTCGTAAATTTGCAAAGTTTATCCCCTAAGCTTCCCAGCAGTTGCTCCCTGGAGGGAGTAACGTATGACGCCTGCGGCGGATGGAACTTCTGACTCCGGTGTATAATTCATGGCATTGCGTGGCAAACCTCTGACAGAAAATGGAGGATTGGCGGGGTTATCCTGCAGAGAGTCGTCCCGACTCTTCTCCCTCCTCCTTGCTTGATGGAGGGTCTTCGGATGTCATTTCTTATACCCAACGCTCACAGGCTGCAGAGTCTATATTCTTGTCTCAACAACAGCAGCAACAGCAACAGCAGCAACAGGTCATTCCACAGCAGTTTACCCAACACCAATATGTCCCACAGCAGATGTACAGCACGCAACAACAGCAGGGCTATCCCTCGCAACCCGGTGAGTTGACGTGCGTCACCGACGAATTCGCAGTACCCCAAAAGGTCATATTGAGCCATCCAAAACATCCTATATGTTAAATGTTCCAGCGTGGGGTGTGTGCGGATGTCCAGGGATGACAGAGCAGCAGCAGGCCTTGGAAATGGCAGACTACATGGAGAAGGAGCAGCAGCGGGAACGTGAGATCGCCCGAAAGTGCGTATTTTACCCTGCCATTATATTTGCCATGACGATGGCCTCATGTTGCAATTAGATTTATAGACAGCCTAGGGAGTTTGTAGGACGGGTTTCCGCTGTATAAGCACTGAGAGGGCTACCTGCTACGGCCGTGACTCGAGTTCGTGAAAGTTTTGCAGGTTGTGCAGCAACTATGTAGTCGTATTTACAGAAAAATAGGGCACTTTACTGTTCTTGCAGTCAGGCCTAGGGTAGATGTACAAATATGCCACATGTGGTGCACGATGCATGCTTAGCACCCCAGTTTTTTACCTATTACTTTTGAGAGTGAGAACTTGGATCGGCTTAAGAGGTGCAGGCAAGCAGCATTTAGGTGGTTGTTCGTGGGACGCATTCTCGTGCACTCCTTATAATTCCCACTTTTTGAGGCGTGTGGCTGATTGCGTCTGCTGTGGGGTCTATAGACAGCAGACGGCACTACGGAGAGGCCTTCTTTCGGTGTCCGAATTGGAGGACTGGATGAGTGAAGATTGCCCACAGCTGGACCGGCAAACTCTCATACGATTCCCTCCCGAGGTTGCGGAAACGCTGAGGCAGCGGCTACACAACGCTGCTGCTGCGGCTGCTGCGGCTACAGCGGAGGGAATCGATCCTCCAGATCCCGGCGCAGCAGCACTGGGACTCACCATTATCCCAAGACCAGATTACAACTACAGGGCATTTGATGTCAAGGTAGGCATTGTGCATGAGCTCCCGTAGTTAGCCATTCAGCTAACTAAGTAATCTATGAGTTATCCAATCGTCCGACCCGCAGTTCCCGTTTGCATACATGCTTTTAATGATGTTGCGCATGGGAAATTGCAGGTTTCAGGATATCGGGGGCGGCTGCGGGGCATCTTGGTCGAGTTGCCGACTTTAATTGAGACATACAAGGCTGTGGACTCTGACATTCTCTTCAAATCAGGTGCGTTGGCTGCATGCGGTGCCATTAATCTGAGTCACCGATGATGAGTCTCTTCGCTATTTCTGACCAAGCTAGCCCGTTTTTCTATAGGAAATAAGGGAGTTTTTGAAAAGCCACGTGTTCGACTTAATTCTGGTTGAAAATTCTGGCGCTTCCGAACTACCATTGAGGTCGCATGATTATTATCTGACCCTGGATAGCTCAAACCCCACATACGTATCTCATGTGCTCTCTTCTTTCTTGATTGTTGCCGTTCTCAAAGGCAATATTTGCGATGCTTTGTTGTCCGCCTTGCATTCCCTTTTTTCAAGCAGCCGACCACACATGTGTGTAGCCCACGTGCACAACTCGCACTTTGTGGTCTGTCTTGTCTGTGCTTAGGTGATGTTTGCCAGATGTTATACGTGTTTGATCCGCAAGTAAATAACCTGGATCTGGGGAGCTTGTGTGACAAGCAACAGTGGGAGTGGCGGGCTGGGTTAACGCCTCCCACGCATCGCATCCGCAGCAGGAAGTTTAAAAATATTGATCTCTTTGATCGCGAGGAAATCCGAGATGCAGAGCTCGAGGTTCTTCAGGCAAGCATCCACAGGACCTGTGGGCACCAGTTTGCTTACAGAAGTAGATAGTATTCCAGTGATATCATCAAAAGGAATTTTAATACTAGTGCGTATTACGAAACTATGACTCGCCTACAGAGCCACAGTTCGTGATATCTGCATGGGACGAGTTCTGGAGAAAAACGCCTCTCTACATGCCAAGGGAGTATCCGCGACTTCTCCCGTGGCGTTGTTGTTGTTCATGTTTCTGTCAACCCCGTTTTCGGTTGATAGTCTTACGTCATGCAACGCGGCTTGCCTGGTGGTTTGGTCACGTGCTCAGTTGCTTCATGGCCTCCGGCGTGATACCTATGAGATCGAAGTTCATACAGAACTTGAAATGTTGGAAGCTCGCAAAAAAGAACAAGAACAGCAAGAACTCCAGCAACAAGGCACCAGTGCCCCTGACGGTCCACGAGTGGAACGCGTGGTGCTGACCACGGAGGATGTAACTGAGCTGCTTAACATGGTTGACGAAGACGACGAGTATCTTTCTGACGCCTCAGACATCCTGTTTTCGATTCAGTCCGATAATGTTTCGCAACCTGGTGCAGGTACGACAACTGTTCCTCACGTAGTTTGAGCTGTTACGGTGATTCCGCGATTCCCTATTGTGGCTGATGCGATTCTGTTTTTGCTTGTTGATGGACTCGCAGACCCGAATTCACGATCTAGACGAGGGAAGGTTGGGGTACCTGGGGGACTTTCTAGGTTCGCTTCAGTTGGAAATGGAGGCCCACAAGAAGCCGATTCACCTCCGGCAGGCATGCTGACACCCACTTCGCAGTTGCAGATGCAGATGCAGATGAGTCAGCATCAGCAGTTGCAACAGCAGTTGCTGGTGCAGCAACAGGGTCAGCAGCTGCTCCACGGTATCCCAGAAGGTTTAGCTCTTGGTGCCGAAGTTGATGATGCGGAGGAACGCGAGCGCTTGCGGCTTCGCAAGGAGCGAAGGAAACAAAAGAAAGACAGGAAAAGGGCACGCAGGGAACAAAAGCTTCAGCAGCAGCAACAGCAACAGCAAGCGGCCTTGGTGCAAGGCCTAGCTAGCGACCAAGTAGAGCCCCATCATGTGCCTTTGCAACAGGGCCCTGCGGTAGCTGCTTTGGGGGAGGCTTCTGCAGTTGGCTGTAATGAAGATGGCAACTTTGATGGCATGAGTTCGGTAGGAAGTGCAGATGTTCAATGAAACGTATCAAGTCAAGAATGCATACACTGCTGATTTTTTGGTATTTTCTTGCTGCAGTTGCCTGTTTTGACACGAGGCACGCGCAGGCAGCACAATGCATATTAAAATGAAACTCGCCGATACACTCCAGAGGAACTAATTATTGTTTGCGTGTAGTTAGAATGACTCCGTTTGGGAGTTTTGGTTTTTTGCACAAGCAGGCTGTGGAAGTGACAACATTCTGACGCGGCAAAGATGAAGACGCCTGCACTTGCAGAGCTTGATGAATCTAACTGGTCATTATTAAATGCTTTACGTGTTGATGGGTGTGCGCCAAATGGCAAAATAGTTAGAAGTATAAAACGAATTACTGGGATTCCTTCTTACAAGGGCAGCCACCCGCGCCTTCCTCCTCCGTAGGCGTATAGGCGTTAAATGAACATCCTTTGATCTATCTACTTTATAAATAATTCCTAGAAACAAGAATACTCCCCTAGAGGCTCATGGTGTCCTGTTTTGCGGGGAAAACATTCTCATGCCTCGCTTGCCCGGGGGGACTCTGTAGTCACAGAACAGCAAGTGAAGCTAAAACGTCGCGCCACGTCGCTATATATATATATATATAATATATAT